TCGATCCATTTTTATGCAGAATCGATCCATTCGATGCAGAATCGATCCATTTTTATGCAGAAACGATCCATTCGATACAGAATCGATCCATTTTTATGCAGAAACGATCCATTCGATGCAGAATCGATCCATTTTTATGCAGAAACGATCCATTCGATGCAGAATCGATCCATTCGATGCAGAATCGATCCATTTTTATGCAGAAACGATCCATTCGATGCAGAATCGATCCATTTTTATGCAGAATCGATCCATTCGATGCAGAATCGATCCATTCGATGCAGAATCGATCCATTTTTATGCAGAATCGATCCATTCGATGCAGAAACGATCCATTCGATGCAGAATCGATCCATTTTTATGCAGAATCGATCCATTCGATGCAGAATTTTACGCTGATTCCGAATCTGCTCCGAAATCCGAATCTTTTGCTAAATAGGTCGGAATCGCAAGGAATTTGGTGGGTCGTCACTCATCGATCGATCGGTCCGCAGTAAGGTCCAGCCAATCTCTGGGTTCAGCCAATTTCTGAGTTCATCCATCGGGGTTTCGCAGGAGTCAGTGCCTCAGAATCGATCGATCCACTTTCCTTCGCTTCTCCAAAGTCGGAGTCGGTCGATTCTCCTCTTCCGTTTGATCCTATTGTTGCCTGTCTTGAATCTGTGAAACCATTCCTATGCAGCACTCGTTCCGACGATTTTTTCCCCATAAAATTCATTGATTTCTCGTGCTGAATTGATTGATTTCAGCGGTTGGCCGCTAAAATCCCTCTTAAAAATCGTTGAAGCAGTAAGGCGAAGCAGTAAAGCGTGGTTTTCTTCTCGAGTTGGCTTCATTCGATCAACTGCAACTCTCTTCTCGTGTCGATTCCTAAAAAATGAATGTTAGTGCAAGAAAGAAGAAATTTTAAGCATAAAAAAGAAAAAAAAAGATAAATACAAAGGTTTTGAGGATTGATTGGGGTAGGCTAGTTTCCGGAATTTTTTTTGCGCAACAGGGTCACTTGCGCAACTGGGTCATTTGCGCAACTCACCATAACTTTCTTCTCAGTGGACCAATCTTTATGATTTTGGTGTCATTTTGTAGATCTCAATAAGTGTAACAAAATGACACCAAAGTCATAAAGATTGGTCCACTTAGAAGAAAGTTATGGCGAGTTGCGCAAACGACCCAGTTGCGCAAATGACCCTGTTGCGCAAAAAAAATTGCGCAAACTAGCCTACCCCTATTGATTAAAATAAAGATCTCTGGGTTTTTATGGGACAACCTAAAAACCTAAAAACTTCGCCAACAATCGGAGTAAATTTGGGTTCCCGACTCGACTTGTGTTCAAACATCGCTTCCAATAGGGTACTAATCAAAAAATCTCTGAATTATGGGACAATCTAATAATATACATGTTATTTGAAAGCTTGAAGTGTCCTTTCTATGGTCTATGGTCTCTCTATGGCCTCTCTATGGTCTCTCTATGGTTCCTTTTCTCTACAAATCTAGTTCCTTTCATATAAAACTTTGGTTCCTTGGGGGTGGGACAAATGCGACTTTTTTTTTGCACACCTGGACATTTGCGCACCTTTTTTTTTGCTGGAAAAGGCCTTAGCTTCAAAGCTTCAAAGCAAGGTCGTAGAGCTTCGAAAATATTTCCATATAAGGGAATCGTATGCGTAGATTCCGAATTTCGACAAATCAGACCTCGCTGACACGTCAAATTTGGGCTAAAAGGCAAAAACTGCGGAAAAGCGTTAAGTTGCGTAGTTTTTGCCTTTTAGCCCAAATTTGACGTGTCAGCGAGGTCTGATTTGTCGAAATTCGAAATCTACGCATACGATTCCCTTCTATGAAAGATTTTCGAAGCTCTACGGCCTTGCCTAAGGCTTCCAGGCTTCCAGGAAAAAGGCTTCCACGCTGGAAAAGGCTTCCAGCAAAAAAAGGTGCGCCGTCCAGGTGCGTAAAAAAAAGGTCGCATTTGTCCCACCCCCGGTTCCTTTTGTCTACAAATTCCTTTTCTCTACAAATTTGGTTCCTTTTCTCTATGGCCAGTCACGACATGGCTTGGCTAAAGCCGGCTAATCAGAGGCAAAAGCCGGCTAATCAGAGGCTAAAGCCGGCTAATCAGAGGCTAAAGCCGGCTAATCAGAGGCTAAAGCCGGCTAATCAGAGGCTAAAGCCGGCTAATCAGAGGCAAAAGCCGGCTAATCAGAGGCAAAAGCCGGCTAATCAGAGGCAAAAGCCGGCTAATCAGAGGCTAAAGCCGGCTAATCAGAGGCAAAAGCCGGCTAATCAGAGGCTAAAGCCGGCTAATCAGAGGCAAAAGCCGGCTAATCAGAGGCAAAAGCTGGCTAATCAGAGGCTAAAGCCGGCTAATCAGAGGCTAAAGCCGGCTAATCAGAGGCTAAAGCCGGCTAATCAGAGGCTAAAGCCGGCTAATCAGAGGCAAAAGCACACCCCTTGTGCCAAGGTTGGCTTCAATTTTCGCACAAGTTATTCGAATGTTCGAATTCATCATAAGTTATTCGAATTCGAAAGCTTTTGTTTATTTTTCTGCAAATAGCATAAAATGTTTGACTTGGGCGAAAAATTCGCGTAACTTTGAGGGCGAAAGTGATAAACATTGGGCAGAAAAAGCTGTTATCAGTTTTTGCCTGATTTTCCGCCTTTTTTTTCATTAGAAAACACACTTTCAAGGCTGAATTTGATTCATTTTTTTGGCTAATTTTTGGCACAAAATTTTCAAAATTATCGTTTCTTATTCGACTTTCTTAAATTATTGTTTCTTATGTACAAAGTACAGTTATGTACTTTGTACATACTTTGACTTAAAACTTGTTTACTTGTACGTTAAATGTGTACTTAGAAATGTTCTGTAGCTGTTTCTTGGACATATCCCGGGCCCAGAATAGCTTGACAGGTCAGGTCGGGGCCCAGGGCTTGCTTTGTACTTAGAGATGTTCTGCACTGTTGCCTAGGGCTTGCTTTGTACTTAGAGATGTTTTGGACTGTTGTTCTGCACTGCCTGAGCCCTATTTTACTTAATCCAGGCCTGGCAGGTATTCAGTATAAACTAACACTGACCTGGCTTGGCCTCGACTAACAATTAGACACTGAGCCGAGCTGGTTTAGCCGGTGCATTAGCCTAACTATCAGTTAGAACCAAGCTGGCAATCTTGGGTCTAGTTTGGTTTAGTCCTGACCAAGTTCTGACAGATCATAGCCTGGCTTTAACCTATTTTCTACTTAACTGGCCTCAATGTCTGCCTAAACTTGGCTTCTACTCAAGATCCGATCCGCCTATTCAAAAGTCACCTGGGTTGACAAATCTGGCCTCAATGTCTGCTTAAACTTGGCTAGAACTAGTCAGGCTTAAGCTTGGCTAGAACTGGTCAGGCTAAGACTGGGCTAGAACTGGTCAGGCTTAGGCTGGGCTAGAACTGGTCAGGCTTAGGCTGGGCTAGAACTGGTCAGGCTTAAGCTTGGCTAGAACTGGTCAGGCTAAGACTGGGCTAGAACTGGTCAGGCTTAAGCTTGGCTAGAACTGGTCAGGCTTAGGCTGGGCTAGAACTGGTCAGGCTTAAGCTTGGCTAGAATTGGTCAGGCTTAGGCTGGGCTAGAACTGGTCAGGCTTAAGCTTGGCTAGAACTGGTCAGGCTTAAGCTTGGCTAGAACTGGTCAGGCTACGACTGGGCTAGAACTGGTCAGGCTTAAGCTTGGCTAGAACTAGTCAGGCTTAAGCTTGGCTAGAACTGGTCAGGCTTAGGCTATATTAGGCAAACCCAGACTCAGATCCAGACCTGTCCTCTAGTCTTATAATCAACCCTAGCCTGGATAGCCTTAGTACAAAGAACTGGCCTTGCTTAGAGTAAAAAGGTAAAATGGACAGGTAAAATCTTTCACAATCATTGTCTCAAAAATCCATTCAGATATTTCGTTTCCCTAGACTCTTAATAACATTTTGGTATGTTACTCATGAGATCTCGAGGAGATTTGGCTAATCTCGAGGAGTAACAATACTTACCGTATTTTCTCTAATAGTAGTGCACCCTGAGCGTCGCCTAAATTGCTCGAAATCTCGAGAACCGCTTATCAGAACCTATCGATATCGGAAAATGTAGCTGACGATAAGATCTAGTGGGTGATTAGAGTGTTGAGCTTCTGCAGCTTCTGCAAAAGCTTTGAAACCGTAAAATCGTCATCAACTCGGCTCGCCGGGGTGCACTACTATTAGAGTAACACGCACAAAGTCATACCCATACCTCGAGGTATACCCATGAACCAAACGTCGGGTTAAAGTGCCTAAGTGTCCACTCATGAGATCCCATGAAAGGCGTTAGTTGATATAGACAGCAGGACGGTGGCCATGAAAGTTGATACCCGCTAAGGAGTGTGTAACAACTCACCGAATCAACTGCCGAATCAACTAGCCCTGAAAATGGATGGCGCTTGAGCGGACCACTTATACCCGCCCGTTGCCGACTTGAGCGCAATGCCCGCCTGGTCGCAAAAGAGGAGCTTTTTGAGGCTTTCTGGAGCTTTTTGAAGCTTTCTGGAGCTTTTTGAGGCTTTCTGGAGCTTCAAGAGGTCTTCGCCTTCCTTCAAGAGGGTCGCAGTGGTTTGGGTTGAAGGCTTTGAGCGTGGGTCCAGCTGGAGCTTCTATCGGTGCAGATCTTGGTGGTAGTAGCAAATATTCAAGCGAGATCCTTGAAGACTGAAGTGGGGAAGGGATCGAGGTAGACCCATACCCGACCGTTGCCGACTTGAGCGCAATGCCCGCCTGGTCCTCGAGGTAGACCCATACCTCGAGGTAAATTTGGTTCCTTATCTCTCTAAATTTGGTTCCTTATCTCTAAATTTGGTTCCTTATCTCTCTAAATTTGGTTCCTTATCTCTCTAAATTTATTTGGTTCCTTATCTCTATAAATTTAATTCCTTATCTCTCCAAATTTGGTTCCTTGAATACCTCGAGGTATGCCCATGCGGTCACCCTGTACAAGTTGTCTTCAGAAATGAGCGACCGACTGAGGGATGGCCAAGAGAAAGCGTATCAAATAAAAATCGATGCGACAAGCGGCACAAATGACAAGTTTATAGGATTAAAAATCTATTTAAATGTCAAATTTTCAGCTACTCATTAAACGGTCAAGGGATCGCCTTTCAGTGCTTTAAAGAGAAGAATATCGAGGAGAAAAAGCAGCTGGCGGGTGGCGGATTCGCGAACACTTATGTGTGTCGTTTTAAAAATTCGAGGTAATTTTTGAATAAATTTATTAACTGAATTTATTAACTGAATAATCTATTAACCCAAAAATCAATAAGAAAAAAACTTTATTCCAAAAGATTTTCGCTTTTTCGCTTTTCGCTTTTCGCTTCAACTAAGCTTTTCCATTTGTCTTGCATAGACTTTTTTGATCAGTCTTCGCACTTAGGGGTTTGGTACAAATTTGGTTCCTTTTGTCTTAGGTGTTCCTATTTTGGCGCAGAGCACAGCCTGCTTTCTCTGCCTGCACAGCCTGCTTCCACATTTCTCTATCCCTATTGTCAGCCAGTGTTTCCTATCTTGGTTGTTCCTGGTTCGAAGTCTTCGACTTGCTTGTGCTGGTGCTTGCCTGCTTGCTTATGTTGGTGCTTGCTTGCTTGTGCTGGTGCATGCTTTCTTGTACCGGTGGTGGTTGCACTCTAGCCATCCTTTCTCTGACCATTTCTGCCACTCTTGTGCTCACCCATCGGAAGACCTCGTTGCTGGTCTTCCGATGGGCCTCTTCTGGTCTCGTGGTAGCCACTCTGTAATCCGTCTCGTCCATACCTAAAACGAAAAATTCGAGGCCCCTTCTAGGCCCCTTCAAGGCCCCTTCTAGGCCCCTTCAAGGCCCCTTCGAAGCCCCCAAAGTAGTCTTGCGCCCAAATTTCGACTTCTTCACGATTGTTAAACTTTTGATTTACAAGAGAGTGTTGCATAGACCGAAACACAATTCGTAATCTGACTAAGGAATTTTGTTAACTTATCATGGCTTTTGACTAGCCTATCTGAAGCTCTGGCTTTCAAAATCGACCTCTGAAACCTTAACGCTTCAGATTCCTCGTCGTTCTCAAGGAACCGAAACGAAGCGATTCGCATGATCACTGTGAAATGATGAGGAATGAGTACAGGAAACATTTGTATGCCGGCGCGGCACATCAGAATATTGTCAGGGTGAGTGAGAATAGGGGAATTGGATGAGTGAAACGATTATCTTGCAGGCACTCGGCAAGATGGAGTACGAGGATGGGAAGAATCTCGGAATGGTATTGGAGTACGTGCCGGAGGGGACAATGGAGAATGGTGAGGAAATGGGGAGCTTTGCTTCTGGGTCTAGTGCTGGCTCTGGCCTAACCCTGGTTTCACCCAGTACAGTGTTCTATCCATCTTGTTCCCTTGATTCTGGCCTAGGGCCAGATATTCTAGATCTTCATCTGAACTTGTGCTATGTAAATGTAAATTTGTAAATTCTGAGCCTGGCCTTGACCTGGTCTGTGCCTGGCCTTGACCTAGCCTTGACCTAGCCTTGACCTGGTCTAGATAGCCTCTAGTCTAGAGTCTAGAGTCTAGAGGTCTAGAGAGCCAGGGCTTGACAAGAGCCAGGGCTTGACAAGAGCCAGGGCTTGACAAGAGCCAGGGCTTGACAAGAGCCAGGGCTTGACAAGAGCCAGGGCTTGACAAGAGCCAGGGCTTGACAAGAGCCAGGGCTTGACAAGAGCCAGGGCTTGACAAGAGCCAGGGCTTGACAAGAGCCAGGGCTTGACAAGAGCCAGGGCTTGACAAGAGCCAGGGCTTGACAAGAGCCAGGGCTTGACAAGAGCCAGGGCTTGACAAGAGCCAGGGCTTGACAAGAGCCAGGGCTTGACAAGAGCCAGGGCTTGACAAGAGCCAGGGCTTGACAAGAGCCAGGGCTTGACAAGAGCCAGGGCTTGACAAGAGCCAGGGCTTGACAAGAGCCAGGGCTTGACAAGAGCCAGGGCTTGACAAGAGCCAGGGCTTGACAAGAGCCAGGGCTTGACAAGAGCCAGGGCTTGACAAGAGCCAGGGCTTGACAAGAGCCAGGGCTTGACAAGAGCCAGGGCTTGACAAGAGCCAGGGCTTAGTCTGACAAAGCTGAACCTAGATCAATCCTGTTCTAGACCAGGTTAATGTCAGAGCTTGAGTCAAGCTATCCTTATCTAGCCAAGCTTACTATTAGGTTTATTAGACAGTTTACGATAAAGATCAAGAACGATAAAGATTTTTAAAAAATGAGGATTTCCAGTGATCTCATTGTGGGACGGGAAAAAGACGCGCATCTGCATCTACTCCGTTCATCACATCATCGCGTGGATGAACGATATCGTGTCCGCGCTGGTGTACATGCATTCGAATGAGCTGGCACATTTGGATTTAACGGCGAACAAGTGGGTGGCACAAAGATTCTAGCAAACGGTCTAGAGGTCTAGCAAACGGTCTAGCTCTCCAGGGCTGGGGTCTAGCCTGAGACAGGCTTAGTCGGGACCTGAACTTGCCTTGATCCTATTTTACCATGAAATCCCATCAATTCCAGTATTCTGATGCCGGACAATTGGCGGAAAGCGATCATCGCCGATTTCGGCATATCAAAATTGCGCGGTAGGCGGTATCCGATGGAGAAAAGTGGAAAGCACAATCATCACACCGAATGTCCTAGTGATTATGCGGCGCCGGAGGTTTCTTTGGGCATCAAACTTCAAATGCGAAATTCCAGGTGAAAAACGGCAATGGTGAATACAAGAGTGATGTCTACAGTTTGGCGATACTGCTCTGGAAACTCGTTTACCGGCAGCACAGGTTTAATTTCATCGCTTTTATCTTTTAATTTATCTCTCCTCTGTACTTCTTGTCTTTTTTTTGACTTTTGCCAAACTCAGGTCTGACCTAGCCAAACCCAGGTCTGACCTAGCCAAACCCAGGTCTGACCTAGCCAAAACCAAGTCTGACCTAGCCAAAACCAGGTCTGTCCTAGCCAAACCCAGGTCTGACCTAGCCAAACCCAGGTCTGACCTAGCCAGACCTAGCCAGACCTAGCCAAACCCAGGTCTGACCTAGCCAAACCCAGGTCTGACCTAGCCAAAACCAGGTCTGACCTAGCCAAACCCAGGTCTGACCTAGCCAAACCCAGGTCTGACCTAGCCAAAACCAAGTCTGACCTAGCCAAAACCAGGTCTGACCTAGCCAAACCCAGGTCTGACCTAGCCAAACCCAGGTCTGACCTAGCCAAACCCAGGTCTGACCTAACCAGACCTAGCCAGACCTAACCAGACCTAGCCAGACCTAGCCAGACCTAACCAGACCTATCCAGACCTAGCCAGACCTAGCCAAACCCAGGTCTGACCTAGCCAAACCCAGGTCTGACCTAACCAGACCTAACCAGACCTAGCCAGACCTATCCAGACCTAGCCAGACCTAGCCAGACCTAGCCAGACCTAGCCAGACCTAGCCAGACCTAGCCTGATAGTATATTCAGGGCTTTCCCACCGGAACGTCTCAATCCACTGAATCGTCCGGAGTGTCCGGATCTGATTCCAGAACTGGAGAGTATCCTGAAAAAGTACGGTATTCAGATTTCAGATAATATCTAATATCCAACTTATAGCTGCTGGGCTCATGATCCGAAAAATCGTTGGACTTCCGGAGTACTCTATCAAAAAGTTCATGATTTTATGGAAAACCTCTTTCCGGATACGAATGACAAACCGAGAAATGAGATAGTTCGTTATCTAGTTATTTATAAGATCAGTTATCTAGATTCATCTAGATACTGGATACTGTAGAGATTTAAAATCTTGTTACAAATATGCTATCTTTTCTCATCTCATCTTCCAGATCGATCGCTTCGATTTGAAAGCACCCGAGTGGAGATCCGATTACATTGACGCTGATCCGAGGGGTTTGTCTACAGATTAAAACTGGATAAACGATAGAGATAGAATAGAAGAGATGGAAGATAGAAGAGATGGAAGATAGAAGAGATAGAATAGAAGGGATAGAATAGAAGGGATAGAATAGAAGAGATAGAATAGAAGAGATAGAAGATAGAAGGGATAGAATAGAAGGGATAGAATAGAAGAGATAGAATAGAAGGGATAGAATACTAGAGAGAGAACAAGTTTCTGAATAGTTGAGCCTGGTTCGTTCGATCTAGTACTGGCTTGAGACTGAACCGGGTTTTGGTTTGGTTCAAGCTTTTACTGCTCTGGTTCTGTCTAATAGTCCAGGTTTAGTCAGTCTAACTAGTCTACTGTCCAACTAGTCTACAAGTCTGTCTACTAGTCTACTAGTCTACCGTCTACTAGTCTACTGTCTAACTAGTCTACTGTCTACTAGTCTACTATCTAACTAGTCTACTAGTCTACTAGTCTACCAGTCTACTATCTAACTAGTCTGCTAGTCCACCGTCTACTAGTCTACTAGTTTACTAGCTAACTAGTCTACTGTCTACTGTCTACTAGTCTCCTAGTCTCCTAGTCTACTAGTCTACCAGTCTACCAGTCGACTAGTCTACCGTCTACTAGTCTACTAGTCTACTAGTCTACTGTCTACTAGTCTGATCTAGCCCAATACTTGAACATCTCTAGACTCTCTAGACTCTCTAGACTCTCTAGACTTGACTCATTGCTAGGACAAACTTGAATCAAGACAAAAATCAGTTCCTAGACTAGTCTCCTAGTGCTGGCCCATCTGACCATGTTTCATTCTTTTAAACAATTTTTCAGGTACTCGCAAATCGCATAAAATCCACCCGCGTGAGAACAGCTATGCGCCGAGAAGAGAAGAGCAAAGATTTGAGATAAGACCGGAGTACCTTCTACAACAATACCAACAGCGAAACGATCAGGATGATACCAACACTTATCAATCCTGGGTAGGATTTCTAGAAACGTTTAGCCATGTTTTGCCAATGGTGATTTTAGAAAGGAGACAAAAGAGCGGCGAATTTCCCCTCAAATTCCTCGATTTCGGTGTCGCGAAGCGATAGCTCGATCGCGTGAGTCATTACTTACATTTAGTAGAGCCAGAAACTGGTTAAAGCTGGTGGCCTAACCCTAGTGAGGTTGTTTTGACCGGGGTTAGGCTTGTCCTGACCGGGGTTAGGTCTGGCTAGGTCTGGCTAGGTCTGGCTAGGTCTGGCTAAGTCTGGCTAGGTCTGGCTAAGTCTGGCTAGGTCTGGCTAGGTCTGGCTAGGCCTGGCTAGGTCTGGCTAGGTCTGGTTAATTCAATAAATCTAATTCTAATTCAATTCCCAGCACCTCATCCTCATCCTCAACCAATTTCTCTCAAATGATGTCAAGTAGCGAAAGTGAGATGAGTGGAATGTCAAGTTATGGAGAAGAAGAGGAAGAAGAAGAGGAAGAAGGGGAAGAAGGAGAGGAAGAGGAAGAAGAGGATGATGAGACGATTGGATCGAGTGAAGAGATAACAGAAGAAGAAGATGGAAAAGAAGAGGAGATGAGGAGGATGAACGGGGGAGAGAAGAGGAATCTGGTGGGTGATTGGAATTGGGTACTGTAAGCTAGCTTTAGTCCATCATCCCTTAGTCCATTAGTCCGTACCGTAAACCGTAGCTCGACTAGTCGCTATTAGAGTAAACGCCCCGTAAAGACTACTTAGCAACAATTAACATAAATAATGACATTAGGCCGATGATAGAATTTGAGTCGGTTGCACGACTACGGTAGCTGGCGCAATCCAACTTTAAGCTTACATATCTTGGTGTTGGGCTGTCCAATTTCAATAATTTTTCTACCAATTGATCGAGAAAGACTTGGCGCATCTAATCTAATCTAAATAGGGGCGGGACGCGTATAAAAGGTGGGACACACACGCCCCGCCCATTTTCCATGATCAATCTAGCTTTAAGCTTACATATCTTGGCGTTCGGCTGTCCAATTTCAATGTTCTTGGTATCATTAGATGCGCCAAGTCTTTCTCTATCGATTGGTAGTAAAATTATTTAAATTGGACAGCCGAACGTCAAGATATGAAAGGTTAAAGCTAGTTTGCTATTGGCAAAGTGACGAGGCGCGTATAAAAGGTCTTCCTGGCGCCGGTTTTCTATAGTTTTTCTACCAATTGATAGAGAAAGACTTGGCGGATCTAATGATACCAAGAAGATTTAAATTGGACAGCCGAACGCCAAGATATGTAAGGTTAAAGTTAGATTGCCAATGGCGAAGGGCTTGGCCCTGTTCGATAGGGGCGGGGATTGGCCCTGTCCGATAGGGGCGGGATTGGCCCTGTTCGATAGGGGCGGGGCTTGGCCCTGTTCGATAGGGGGGGATTGGCCCTGTCCGATAGGGGCGGGGATTGGCCCTGTTCGATAGGGGCGGGGCTTGGCCCTGTTCGATAGGGGCGGGGCTTGGCCCTGTTCGATAGGGGGCGGGGCTTGGCCCCTGTTCGATAGGGGCGGGGCTTGGCCCTGTTCGATAGGGGCGGGGCTTGGCCCTGTTCGATAGGGGCGGGGCTTGGCCCTGTTCGATAGGGGCGGGGCTTGGCCCTGTTCGATAGGGGCGGGCTTGGCCCTGTTCGATAGGGGCGGGCTTGGCCCTGTTCGATAGGGCGGGGCTTGGCCCTGTTCGATAGGGGCGGGGCTTGGCCCTGTTCGATAGGGGCGGGGCTTGGCCCTGTTCGATAGGGGCGGGGCTTGGCCCTGTTCGATAGGGGCGGGGCTTGGCCCTGTCCGATAGGGGCGGGGCTTGGCCCTGTCCGATAGGGGCGGGGCTTGGCCTCTCTTTAAACATCGAGTAAATTGAATACCTTTACATTTGAAGGGAATTAGCCACCAAATCATTTGAACAATTGAGTTCCTTGAAAATAAAGCCGTATATAAGGCGGCGCTCGTGATTCTTTGGTGACGATGGCTAGCAGTTCCTACCGCAGTTCCTACTGCAGTAGGAGCCTAGCAGTTCCTACCGCCTACGAAACAGTGCTATGCACAGTGTGAAAAGGGTTAATTTCATACTTTTTTCTTTCAGAAACTCCCAAATCTCCTCAACGAACAATACTATTTGCGAGCATTTCCAATCTTACCCCAAAAAACCCCCACGAATCCGGTAATTGTTCGAAAATGTTCTTTCTTTTTTAAAAGCTCTTTAGCTCGTCGAGTTCACTGTGCAGCACGTAAACGATCTAGCGTTAAATATCGCGGCGATTGGGTAAGATTTCAAATTTTCGATTTTTGAAAGGAAGAAAGTTGTCGAATCGGAAGATCGCAAAAAAAAAAAAATAAAGCGCTCGCACCAAGTTTTCTCAAATTTCTTGAAGGATCCTTTCAAGTATGGCAAGAAAAAGTCTCCGGGACGTCATTTATCAAAAAAAGATCAAAAAGATCTTCAGCAACGTTCGCGGTATCTATTTGTCGTTGTTGACGGGGATGAATGAACGGAAAAGTGAGCACGACTCGTATTTGACGAGAATCTTCAAGCCCGATCGGCAGAAAGAGGTGGGAAATGTTGCGAGGAGTTGAAGAGTTGCTGGCAGGCTGGCATTTGTCGGCTTGTCAACTGGATCTGATTCGGATCTGATCCGGATCTGTCGGCCTGTCAGCTGGATCTGATCCGGATCTGTCGGCCTGTCAGCTGGATCTGATCCGGATCTGTCGGCCTGTCAGCTGGATCTGATCCGGATCTGTCGGCCTGTCGACTGGATCTGATTCGGATCTGATCCGGATCTGTCGGCCTGTCAGCTGGATCTGATTAGGATCTGATCCGGATCTGTCGGCCTATCAGCTGGATCTGATCCGGATCTGTCGGCCTGTCAGCTGGATCTGATTCAGTTCTGATCCGGATCTGTCGGCCTGTCAGCCGGATCTGTCGGCCTATCAGCTGGATCTGATCCGGATCTGTCGGCCTGTCAGCCGGATCTGTCGGCCTATCAGCTGGATCTGATCCGGATCTGTCGGCCTGTCAGCTGGATCTGATTCAGTTCTGATCCGGATCTGTCGGCCTGTCAGCCGGATCTGTCGGCCTATCAGCTGGATCTGATCCGGATCTGTCGGCCTGTCAGCTGGATCTGATTCAGTTCTGATCCGGACCTAGTTAGCTAGCCCCTGGACCATTTAAAATCTTATTTACCTTGGTCAGATGCAGGGACAAGTCTAGGCTAAGCCTTGTTAGCATATCCCGCACCAAATCCCATTGCCAGAGTGATTTTTGGGCTCACGGAAGAAGATCTTTCTTAAATATATCGAGATCTTGAACTAGTGTCGAGATGTCGAACTAGCATGCCTTGCATTAATCCTGCCGTTGTGATTGTGAGACGTTTGATCTGCGCTGTCCCTTTGTCATCAGCAATCTAGTTTGCTAATGGGAAAAGGGGCGGGGCCAGGAAGACCTTTTATACGCGCCTCGTCGCTTTCCCATTAGCAATCTAACTTTAAGCTTAAATATCTTGGCTTTGAATTGTCCAATTTAAATAATTTTTCTACTAATCGATAGAGAAAGCCTTGGCGCATCTAATGAAACCAAAAATATTTAAATTGATCAGCCCAACACCGAGGAATTTGAGCTTAAAGTTAGATTGCTGGAAAGAGGTAAGGCGCGTATCAAATGGCCGATAACCGGAGCTTGTAGTGTCAAGACGTTGACTTTGTTGACGTTGACTAGCTCGAGTATTTTAAATCAATCAAATTCCAAGGTTTTCCTTCACATGATGAAATGGAACGCGAAACGGGATCTCCCTTGCCGCTTTATACGAGTACAAGGAGTGCAAGAGATTTCAATTGGTCACAGCGAGAGTCAATTTCAGTGAGTTGAAAAGATCGTTGGGTTCAAAAACACCAGAACGCGTGTGTTTTCAAGATTTAAGCACAGAGCACAAATTTTGGGACCCGAGCAACGTGACAATCAGAAGAAACTGCTTCGCAAGGTGGTTTCCGCTTCGAGGTAAGGGCTCACGGGCAAGTTGGTTTCAATCTAGACCTGGAATTGAATCAGGATTGTCAAACTGGGCTAAGCTCAATGGCCGGCTCAATGGTCGGCTCAATGGTTGGCTCAATGGTTGGCTCAATGGTTGGCTCAATGGTTGGCCGTCTGGGTCCAGTAGGGTCCTGGTTTATGTTAGGATAGGGTCAGATTTAGGCCCTGGATAGACGGAGTAGGTAAAGGGACCAGGTAAGGGACCATGTAAGGGACCAGATAAGGGACCAGATAAGGACCAGATAAGGGACCATGTAAGGGACCAGGTCAGGGACCAGGTAAGGGACCATGTAAGGGACCAGATGGGGGACCAGATAAGGGACCAGATAAGGGACCAGATATGGGACCAGATAAGGGACCAGATAAGGGATCCAGATAAGGGACCAGATAAGGGACCGATAAGGGACCGGATAAGGGACCAGATAAGGGACCAGGTAAGGGACCATGTAGGGGACCATGTAAGTGGACCAGATAAGGGACCAGATAAGGGACCAGATAAGGGACCAGGTAAGGGACCATGTAAGGACCAGGTCAGGGACCAGGTAAGGGACCATGTAAGGGACCAGGTAAGGGACCAGGCAAGGGACCAGGTGGGTGGACCAGATAAGGGACCATGTAAGGGACCAGGTCAGTGACCAGGTAAAGGACCAGGTAAAGGACCAGATAAGGGACCAGGCCGAGCTAGAGCTAGACCTAGAGAGCTCCAACTTAGCCACAAAAACTTTTCCTTATTTTAGATATCTAAAAGTTTAGATAGATTTTGTGATATCCAGCTTCAACAAAAAAACTTTTACTTTCACTCAATTTTCTTTCTTTTTTACTTAAAATTGCGCGAACTGAGAACAGCGAAAATGAGTCGAAAGAGGCAAAAGTAAAGCTAAAGAAAATGTGATTCATAAATCGTGGAACGATACTAAACCGATTGCACTAGGAAAAGGACAAGACTAGGGAAAAGAGAAGACTATCATCGGATTCGGATAGCCGATTTTTCTTTTGAGGTCTCCGAATTCTCGATCGCTGGCGGGGACAAATGTTTCCCATTGGACATTGAGTGGACTTAAGAGTGAACAGATTTGGCCGTCTGCTTCAACAATGCGATTTATGTTTTTAATGAAGGTGCAAAGTTTAGATGAAATTTGCATAAAGGAATTGGAATAGGTTCAAATTCAAGGTGGGCCAGCTAATTAC